TGAGTAGTATGGCAGCTGCTTGCAGCTCAGAAAAGGGATGCCAAAGAAAAGAAAGAATTCCAATGACGTTGGTCTACTTCTACAAGATCATCTGACAATATCAATTTTAGCTCTGGGAGGCAGTTAATTTTAATCATCCACATCCACCCCATTACCTCTCTACCCCAAGAATTATCTCTTAAAATGTTATGTGGTTTTAACAGAAAGAGAGCCATTTTCTAGGGTGATGAGGCTAATTATAAGAATTTACCTAAAATTCTTTGGGCTATTTTCTCATTCTCTCTCTCTTTTTTTTTTTTTTGGTGTGTGTGTGGGAGCGGTGTCGGTCGTGGGGCCTGAACTCTGGGCTGGGCACTGTCCCTCAGCTCTTCAGCTCAAGGCTAGAGCTCTACGACTTGAGCCATAGCGCCACTTCTGGCTTTTTCTGCTTATGTGGTGCTGAGGAATCGAGCCAGGGCCTAATGCATGCAAGGCAAGCGCTCTACCATTGACCCAATTCTCTACTAGGCCATCTTCATCAGTGTTGTAAACTTAACATCAATAAAAGGCCAGGCACTAGTCATTGCCTCACCTATTTCTTCTCACTGGAGTTTGTTCCTGTGATCTCTGAGAGGACGATCTTCACAGATGGCAAGGACTCACTACAAACGGAGGAAAGGAAGGAAGGCGGGAGGGAGGGAGGAAGAAAGGAAGGGAAGAAGGGAGGAAGGAAGGGAGGAAGGAAAGATGGAAGGAAGGATGGAAGGAAGCAAGAAAGGAAGGAAGGAAGGAAGGAAGAAGGAAGGAAGGAAAGAAGGAAGGAGGGAGGGAGTGAAGGAGGGAGGTAGCTTTTTTAATAACATTCTGAAACTTTATAAGGTTTATATGACAGATGTCCAGATGAAACTAGCTGTATAGAACCTAGCTATTGACATTCTTCCTTAAAAGAAGTTATGCACACTGCTACCTTATCTCCCAAGCAAAATGACCCAGGCTCTCTAATCATTTACCTCTGCCTTTCTACCTACAGGAATCACAAACTTCCCCTTTTGTAGTGTGTCTGTATGACTGTGGTCTAGAAGCAAGTGGAACTTTAACGCTAATTGCACCAGTGGAATAGACCAAGAACTAACTGGCAAAGTAGTTTTAAAAAAATCCCACCCTTGCCTTCCATCACAGAAAATGCAACTCAGGGAGGCACTTGGGTAGCTGTCTCTGTACCTACTTACCTTTTTTTTTTTTTTCAGTTCCAGAACTTGAACTCAGGGGTCCCCTACTCATACTGTTTTCTTGCTCTCAGCTGGCTCTCTATCACATGAGCCACGTCTCCATTTCAGCTTTGAGTTGATTATTTGGAGATGGAGTCTCTACCTCTCCAATTGAGTTTGAACCACAATATACCAGGTCTTAGCTTCCTAATAGCTAGGATTTTAGGCCTGAGCCACAGGTGCCAACCTGATTTCCCTGATACTTGCCTATAACTACTGCCTGAACTCCTCTTCACTAACAGCCAGTAAAGTTGAGGACCATGTATGACCAGGTTAATCCTGAAGTTTAGTCACTCTTTGCTAGCACTCTGTATCTTACTAATTGACCACAAAACTCTCAGCCCCTTCCAGAAAGATACCTTTCAGCATCTTTCCATTGCCAAAACTCTCAAGAACCATGAGCAATTTGAGTGTTTGCTCTACTTTAAGATTACAAGCTAACCAACCAGTTTCATGGACACTAGAAGATATTTGACTTCTGGGTCAGATAAAAAGCATAGTTCATGGTTATGTTCTTCCTTATAGCCAAACCCCAGAATGGTAAGCTCAGGCAGGAGAGCCACAAAGGAGTGCCTACCCATTCTATGGGGTTGCATTACAAGGGAGAAAATGTAAGTCTTAGAGAATTCAATTTTTTAAATCAAGGGCAGTAAGCATGTCTTAAACTCTGGAGGAAAGGAAACACTCTCTTCCAAGGTTATATTCAAATTTCACCTCTGCTCTAAGATTTGGTGGAGAGGAGAAACAACATTCTTTTCCAGGTAGCTAGCACAATATACATACATTTTGGATGGACACAGGGAGTCCTTGGCTTCACTGAGAAAGGTAAACAGAAATGCAAGAGGTCTATGGAGTCTTGTCTTAAAAATACAAACCTCCAAATCAGAAAGCACGAAATGCATACACTTGATGTTTGTAATAAAGTACTTAGACTTTTGAAGTACTTAGACCCATGGATTACTTTTTGTTTTGTGTTTGACACTGAGCTTTACAGTGAGTGTGACCCAGGTTGGCCAAACTCAAACTTCCTGCCTCAGCCTCCTGAGTGCTGAGATTACAGGGTGTGCACAACTACAAACATTATAATTTTATACAAATATTAAGGGACTCCTACAGATTATCAGAGCTTCAGCAATTCTAACTCGGACCCACTGAGCCCAAGTTAACAACTTAAAGAAAATATTTTGAATATCCACTAAAGCATAACTTCAATATCTGAGTACCATTTACATTTCCAACTTTTATTTTCTCCTGAGGTTTTTTTGTTTGTTTGTTTTCTTTTAATTTGACTAACTTCACACTTAGGCCCAGCTAATCTTCATTCCTGAATGCTAGTCAAGGCAAAGCCCTTCATATACACCCCTCAGGAGAGAGTCAGGGAGACTTGATTAAAGTGTAGATTAAACTTAATTTAAAACCATAGATTAAAATGTCAATGCATTCTACTTTTCAAGCAATTTTCTCTGGCATGACTACAGTTCTTAGTAAGAACTTTCAAATTCCTGCACATAAATATACTAAGCATCTTCTAATATCTCCCCAAACAGGCTTAGTAGTTATATAAGAAGCTAGCTTATTGTAACATTTGTCTAGTTATATAAGAAAAGCTGGCTTATTGTAACATTTATCTATTAAGCCCTATTTCATGACCCAGACTTCTTAACTGATTGCCATAACAATTAAACCTCCATCCTCCTAAGAGCCTGTCTACAATGGCTTATGAAGGTAGGGATAGAAGCCAAATTCCAGGTTGGCCTCAATTATGTCTAAATGTCAGTGTGTTTTTCCCACACAATGAAACATATGGAATCCTGAGACAGACCCCTTTTAAGGGAAATGGGGTCAGGTTCCCTAGTAAGATTTTTCACCCCAAAGGATAGGCAGGAATGTGCTGTTTCTCTGATTCTATGGCTAGATAGAATCACAGATATGTTTATCATTATAATTCTTTATACTCTAGACCTTATGTTCTCAAACCACTCTTTGAGAAGATCCCAGGGTTTTAGTAAAGTACGAACACCATCAGTCTGGTGTTATTGTGTCCATGTGTATGCTCTGGATTAAGGCATTCTTTTTGTTTGGATTACAAACCACATTACTTGATAAATATCTGAGAAAAATGGAATTGGGTGAGTTGGAAATGAAAGTAAACTTCACTTATTCTATGAATACAATCCTTCTAAGAAAAAAATGATTCCTGCAAATGTTTAGTTTTCTAAATAACTTTGTAATGGAGCGAAACCATATTCTTGTGAAAAAGAGCCAAAACCTTTATTTTGGTATAATTTATTCTCTTTTTGTCAAACAGGCCAACAATAAGGTCATCAACTTCCTTGGCAATGCCTACCTACCTTCCCATCCCTATGCTACATTTATGAATTTGTTTTGTTTTGCCCTGCGTTATCCTCAGTTCTTCAAATCATTTCTTTTTCTCACCTATTGGAACTATTAATTCCACTGAACATTCTTGAAGGGCAATTAAGATGGTAGAGAAAGATCACTTCCTGAAAAACTGACTTTCAGTTTTTAAGAAACATTATGTTTATTCCATATCTCTCTGGATAAGCAATATTTGGTAATATTTCCTGCATATTGTTAGCAATTCATCTAACAGCAGACAACTCGGGCATTTTACTCAAGGGGCAGATTGGCATCTAGAAAATTCAACCTTAACATCTAATCTTCTGGTGTTTAAAAAAGTCAAACCTCTGTTTCCTTCATAAAACACATTATCTTTTAAGCTATTTCCATGTTTCAAATTTCCATAGCATGTTTTCTAAAGAAAGAAACATACTCACTACAATACATCTATTGATGTTAGCTCATATCCTATTTCCTCTACCAAACTTGAAACAAGGGTTTTTTGTTTGTTTGTTTTAAAGCTGGAACTACCTCTTGTTTTCAAGATGAAGAGAATCTCATATTTGAGGGTTGTTTTTTTAAAACAAAGAAATAATGGTAACACTTTCCTTCCAGAACTTCAACAGTTTGTTTTATTGCTTCATTCTTATATTTAAGCGGTCATAAGGAAGTTGGTGGTGAGCTGGCTCAAAGCTGGGTCACGCTGGGCAGGAAGTGGCTGAGAACATTTTAGCAGATTTTGAACTTTTTTAATCTGCTTGCCACTTTGGCTAAACATATCCAAGACCACCTACTCCACTTTTTCCTCCTAGCTATCACAGCAAAAAAAGAGTGCTCAGCAGAATGGACAGGAAGGAGGTACTTCTGATGTACTACCACCGAGGTAACTGTCTTGGTTTTATGGCTCTATAATATATGCCAGAGACAAAATTATACATTCTGTCATATTATAAACATTAAATAGGCCAATCCACAGACCACCTAGAGCTCCCTCACAGATTACAGCATGAATTTAAAGTACAGGACAATGTGAAATGCAGACATCTTGCAAGGTGGAGTGCCTGCTAGTAACTGCAAATACAGAGAGGTCACATGGAAACTACAGCAATCCTGGAAATGACCGCTTGTCACTTACACAGAAAACAAAAAGACCACCGTGCCATAAAATAAGAATCTCTCTTTTTAGAATAAAAGAGCCTTGAGACCTATATTCTATACTCAAAAATTAGTTGAAAGTAATTGAATTTCTCTCTCATTTCTGAATAGCAAACTTTTAAAAAAATACAGATTCGCACTCTGAATACGGTAATATTTCAGGAATATGAACCTTAACTCATTGACAAATATGAAAATAAAGCCACAACAGGATGAATTTTAAGAGACAAATTACTATTAATAAAAATAATTTGAGGGTTTTAATACATTGGGTAATATCTAAAAACAAAGTGACTAAAATTAATGTTACAAATTTCCAGAACATTACTTGGACTAATTTATTAACAATCCAAAAAGTAGCTAAGTGAAAAAATTTCATATTCCGATTGAGTCAGCTATAGCACTTCATACTTACCCCCCATTATAACCTCAAAAAAATTTAAATAGGATGGTTTAAAAGAGAAATACTGAAAATAAATCATCTTTGGATACTTTTAGATTTTCCCCAGTGTACCACAAATCACATCCAGAAATCCAAACAAAACTTAATCACTGAAATGTTTGAGATCTGCTGCTGAAATCTAGAGCTGCAAGAGAAGAAAAGGAGAAAGAAGCAGATAGGCTGACCTCTCATTGCTGGAGCTCTGCAGCCATGTAAGTTAATATCGTGAGTTCATAAAAATCACCAGTAACACTAAAATAATAACAATAACATAAATAAAAATAGGCTTTGGTTAGAGACAGAGGATCCGTTTACTGCCGCCCTGCTGAGGTACATTTGACCACCGAAGGCAGAAAGCTATTAGCATCCAGAATTAATGGGTATAGTGGTTTTCAAACAAGATATTTCCATGATGGACACAATGTAGACTCAGCAAAGTTTCTCCTTCAAGAAAAATACAGCTTGTATTTCAAAGAACACTGATTAGGCTTAATACCATTAGGGAACCATCAAGGATTTGTGCTGTTGTTACTGCTTTTAACTATGTGACTTTCTAAACCAAAAATTGAGGGTAGTTAACTTGACCGACAGTCAAGATTTAGGAATGCAAGAGCAAATCCAAGGTACAGATGAGCTTCAGATGTACTCAGGCCTCAAGGAGTTTAGAATCTTTTGAGATTGTCAGGTCCTAGCTTTTCTTAGCATCACCACCGTCCCTGTTAGTACTTGTCTGGAACAAACTGGACAAATATTCATTTACCTCATTACACCTCCCCAGAGGAAAAGAACTAAATACTACATGATTTTAGAAACTCTCTGTGAAGTTTATTGGTAGCAATGCAAATCAATTTTAAGTAAAAACAAATTTAACAAATAAATAAATAAATTCTTAACTACTATGAATTGCCCATAACATATCTGGTAGATACAGTTTAAAAGTCAATATATTCTTTGTACACTAATTGTAAAAAATACACTGTTGAGTCAATTTCCAATAACACTTGAAAGTACAAATATAAGTTAAGTAAGTTTTAAAAGACCTTACAACACATGCAACAAAAGTCTATAGAACAAAGATAATTATTACATTCTCTATTTAATTTGTAATATTTTATTTCCTATAAAAAATTTCAAACAGCCCATGTGTCTATATTATACACAAATACCCACATCCAGAGGTCTTTCCCATCATATGTGCAATCCTTCTTCATTGCTCAAAATCTTAATTTTTATTCCTGGTTGGATTTTTCTTCCTTGGCAATTCTTTTTGTTACTCCACTGAAATATTTCTCACGGAAGGAATTATGGCCTTGGTAGAGTAGAAAATGATCATTTAGCAGATGTGCATACTGGTCCTGGTTCTAGTTGGTAGGAAAACAAAATATAAAGATGTTTAAGTTACTTCTTTTGTTAGCCTGCAATCAAAATAGCCGTTTTCTCTAAGAAAGTCACATTCTGATATACATTTGATCTTCATTATTACCTGAATTGGAAATATATAACTATTTTACATGTGTATCATACTTGGATGTTCAAAGTGTCTTCATTTGCTTCATCTCACTAAATCCTTACAATAATACTATGCATAGATAACTATTCAGATATATTTATAAGATATCTCTTTGTTGCTTTGTATGTTCCTCCCCTACGGTATAACCCCTGTTTTCACTGTATTTGATGTTGGTATAATTTGTGGAGGGGAAGGGAAAAAACAAATTGTTTAAATAGGGATACAGGTGGACTCATTGCAACAATGAGATGTACAAGACATTATGTTGAAAAATGAACTTTACAACTTTGGCTGGGGTGGTGGGGGGAGGGAGGGAAGGGATGGTAGGGGAAACAAAGGAGGAGGCAACAATGCCTGATAAGAAATATACTCATTACCTTGCTCAAGTAATTGTAACCCCTCTGTACAGTATTTTCACTATAAATATATATATATATATATATATATATATATATATATATATATATATATATATAGTGAAAATAAAACTATTCAGAAAGGACAAAGAGAATTGTTCCTGGTAACACAGTCAGAACTGCAACAACTTCACTGTATACCAAATTTATCTGAGACTAAAGATGTAAATGATCAAACCAAGAAGCTTCTATCTAGTCAAGGTAAAGGTAATATAAAAACTTATGTCATTTGTTTGATGTCATATAACCCCGTACAACTTTTCAGGGCTATATCCATCTTCTGTTAATGTAATAGAGGATTTCCAGAACAGTAGAAGACAGAGACTAAAGAAGAGACAGATATGCTTTCAGACTTTCAGACCAACACTGGCTGGTGCTCAGATTCACTCTCAATGGACTCGGAATAAGTCAGTCTTGGTTAGAATGTTAAAAATAGTTTGGCTTAGAAAACTGAGGGAAGAAAACATGAGTGGCAAGACACACTGAGATATCAGCTTCTCATCCAAATTCAAAATCCATTTCAAACTGAAAAAAAAATCTGATTAGAAATAAAATCTTATTTTTTGATGTTTGTGTAAATTCATATTCAGTTATACACGAATTAATGTGATTCTGAAGAAAGACATAAAGACTCCTGGGAAGTATGATGCCTAGTTTTTTAATCCTAATTTCAGTATCAAAATGGTAGACAAAAATAATAAAATAATCTTATATATTTCTTTATTCCTATGTAAAATGGGTATCTTCATTCTTCCCTTAACCTTAATCAAATCCTATGCTTAGATCAAACAATGTTGACTCAATTGTTCATCAAGAAACTATTTTTGTAGCACTTATTTTTTAATTATATATAAAACACTTATTAAAAATAATTGCTGGAGATCTAGCTTAATAGTGGAGTATTGGTCTAGCTGCACAAGTCCCAGGGTTAGATACTTTGTAAAATCAAAACCAAAGCAAAACCAAGTAAAACATAAGCTGGGCTGGAGAGGTGGCTGAGCACTGGCTTAGCATGTATGAGGCCCAGTTTTGATCTCTAGCAATGCAACAAATAGATAAATAGATAAAAACAAATACCTGGATTTCTTGATATATCAAAAATAAACAGGTGGCTACTTAAATTCTATGGCACTAAGTATGCTACAGTTCCAATTCCTGCAAGCACCTGAAATCATGCCAGATGACTGATGTTAGGCTACATAAAGTTTAACCTGTAGAAATCCAATGAATGACTAGTAAATGAAAAGTAATTTACATCTGCTAGGTATTTATCATGGGTCCCAAAGCATACTAAACAATTTATACATACTATCTAATAAAAACTATTACCTCTAAATTATATGCACAGTCTCATCACTATTTTGCCTATGAAGAATTCTTTACAAGTACAGGCTTACACTACAAAGCTGGAAGTAGCAGAGCTAGGGTTTGGACACAAATCTGTTTAATGACATATTAACAAGAGAGGTGTTTCCCAACTTAGGAAGCAGCGATAGCTCTGGAAATAAACAGGTAATAAAGCACCAGCAAAAACAAAAAGAACAAGGAATATAAATATCATGTTAGAGAAGGAGTAAATAGCAGTCCTGACATCAAAAATAAATAAGTAAAACATTTAAGACCTATGCAAATGGTTAACAAAAAAATCGTTATCTATCACATTCTTTCACTGAATAGCTTAAGACCTCTCAGCTCCCTCAGAATACAGTCCAGGCAAAATAAGCTGTGCATTCTGCTCAGTAGCACGGACACAGTGGCAAAGTCATACATACTACTGATGAGTTGGAACAGTGTGACCTGAGAGAATCTCATTTTCTTCTCTCTGGAAGAAAATGCATATGAAGTGTGTTTGGGCTCTGTAATGAAATGTTTCCTTTTACAAGACCAATTGTTCCCTGATTGTGAAACAGTACATTCATAACAGAAACTCCTAGAAAATCCCAAAGCTCCAAATCCCTTGTATAGCCAAGGAACTGGTTGGAACCATTCTACCACCTACAGTTAAGTGATGCTTCAGGATAAACCAGATACGCCAGAGACTTCAGCTACTCTGTTCAACTAGGTGGAAAGGTTCCAGTTCATAAACTGGTCCTCAGGAAACATTTGGTGTGTCTTTGATCACATTCATGCTTTCAAACATGTAAGTATATAGCTACAAACAACACACATTTAAAATGCACTCAGTTCATATGAACTGAGTGCTACATGTAGTACTCAGAATTTATGTTATCAGAATGCTAAAGAAAATGGCAAATTCAATTTTTTTTTTCTTTTGCTCTCTCTTCCTATCTTCGGTTCACTTCCACAAGACTCACACTTAGGATGATGATGGTAAACTCTACAGATGCTTCATCACCTTTACTCACTCTTCTCTAGCCACATTTCCTCCCCCTCTCCACCAGAAATATCTGTAGTTTTAAAATTCTGTATCTCAAAGGCCGAAAGTGTTTACTTAAAAAAGAACAGCATAGTCAAGCAATATAGTGTTTCATCCTCCTTTCACTCAAGCATGCCTGGTGTTTCTGGATTTGCTTTCTCTAATATTTCTGAGTCTGTCTACCACTATCAATTCTAGTTTTATTTATATATCATAAAACCTGAGTTTCACACATTTTTAGTAAACAAGAAATGCTTGATTTAAAATAAAGCCAAGCAAGAAGTAGAACATGTCAAAAGAGAAAAGTATGGCTGTGAAAGATTAAAAACTGGTATACCTTTCCTAAATTTCAGGACTATAGTAGTAATAAAGGAGACAAGAAAAAAATGTTGATTGATTATACTATTGCCTATCATCCTTCTTTAACCAGAAATTAAGTTTCTATAGGAAAATCTGTCCTAGCTACAAATTATTACATAATGGATAGAATAGCATTTCATCGTTGAAGAACTATAAATATTACAAGAATATATACAAGTTTTAATCCAAGCACTAGTAGCTAATGCTGATGATCTTATTCAGGTGGCTGAGATCTGAGGATCACAGTTCTAAGCCAAACTGGGAAGGAAAGTCCATGAGACTCTTACCTCCAATTAACCACCAAAAAGCCAGAAGTAGAGCTGTGATCCAAGTGGTAGAGCACTAGCCTTGAGCAAAAAAATCCCAGGCATAGTGCTCAAGCTCTGAGTTCAAGCAAGCCCCAGGACTGGTAAAAAAAATTACACACACATGTATACAGAAAATGTATGCATATATAGAAGTATATACATTTACATGTATGTGTATATGCACACACGTTTTGATTCAAAAGAGAAATATATTTGCTTTCAACTATGTGATTCACATAAGTTAATTATTTTATTTAAGCATCTTTCATAGCACATTATCTAAATTTTGCAGATGGAGAAACAAAGGTTCAAAGAGTTTAAATTATCTGCCGCAAGTCACACATCTAGTATGCAGCACTGTCAGAACTGTGGCCTAAATCAGACTTCAAAAGCTCATGCTTTTTTCATTATCTTTCTCTCATTTTTTAAAGCACAAATGACATTAAACAGTGGCTAAAGAGTTAATGTTCCATACGGAAGATTAGTGGGTCCTTCAAAATAGAGTTTGACATTTAGAGGACATTGCTCACTGAACAGTAACATTATGGAAGAACATATTTCAGATCTAAACCTCTAGACAGAACCTCTTAACCACTGTCCCACCCAACCAATTTCCTGTCCTATCAGTACTGCTAATTCTAAACATAAACCACTTTAGGAATTCTAACACACCCGCCAAAGAATCCAAAGGAAGCTTCACAAATCAGTAGTTCACTTTTATGTGCACACCACCCTCTGCTGGCTGAAGCAAAGCAGACCACTGTCATGTGTCACAACGGTCAGAGCACTGTCTCCTTAGCTGTTTTTCAGTCCCACCTGTTGTAACCATCTTGAATCACACAACCCCCACATAACCAGGACAGCTTTTTTCTCAGGCACCATCAGCATTTATTCATGCCACTTAAGTTCTAAAGAATGATGCACAAATAAACAAATATATTCACCTTGGTGATTCTAAAGGGTATATCATTCATCTGTGTCCAACTTCTAGAACAAGACAAGTACATAAACTTGCCTATATTCAAGTTAATCACACATGCATACACACTTTATGATCTCTCTCTATAGCACAAACTGGCCTTGAATTCATATAATGTCTTTTTGCCACTTGTGCCTAAGTGCTGGGATTACAGGTATGCACCACCTTACCTCAATGGTCCTTATTTTTTATAATTGTATTTAAAAATGCAGCACCAAAAAGAATGAAAAGGAAAGCACTTCAGCCATTTGTAATTTCATAAGCTTTAAAGGGGAATAAATCCTCAAGAAAAGAAAGAAAAATGCATGCTTGTAGTAACATTGAAACTGACATTTTAGTGGCACTAATGACACTGAACTGTACAATGAGAAGTTCTTCTCAAACTATGTAGGGTAAATTACTCAGACTATA